GATTCCCAAATTATTAATGAGGCTCCCGGCAGCGGCGGTCAATACTGCTGCTGGGCTTCCTCCCCACGGAGCGCGACCCGCGGCTGGGGGAGGGAGGACAGGCCCTCCCGGTCCGGCCTCGGCGGAGGGGGACGCCTTTCCAGTGCTGGCCAAAGTAGTAGTCCACTCCCAGGCTAAAAACCCACTCGCCGGGACCCCGGTGTCCCCCTGGCCGTGGGCTAGCCCAGGGGAGCCCCGGGCCGGCCTGACTCTGAAGTTGCGTGGCATTGCAACAGCCTGCGCTTTAATTCTCCCGGGACGCATTATGCAACATGGCATCAGCGCTGACTTGGTTACAGAGTGGTGAACTCCCAGGTGTGTGTGTGGGGGGGGCGGGCTCCCTTCCATGCGGCCCCCCTCCCCCACTGTGGGGGAGAGCAACTTCCCGCAGGTGGACCCAGGGCCTAGAGTCCAGTTCTAGTGCCAAACCTGCCAGGGGAAGTAATGCAAAATAAAAGGGGTGCGGGCTGGAAGGCAGCAGAGTGGTACCCCGCCCCCCGAAACAGAGAACCACAGCCTGGTGGAGAAGCAGCTGTAGTGTGACAAGCACCTGTGACCCAGGTGGCCCCCACCCCGAGTGTCCACCCCACACCCTCTGAGCCAAGCTCCTCCTGCTCTGGGGATGGGGCCAGGTCACCCAGAACCCCAGAAGGGGCACGCGGAGCACCCAAGCAGACCAAACCTGCCCCCAGCTGAGCCCAGGCTCTGGCATGGGGCCCAAGGGGGCTTGAGGTCTTGTCAACTTCTCTCCAGCCCCCAACAGGTTAAGTGCAGTTCTGTGCCGTCCAGCTGTTTCACAATGCCAGCTCCCTCCGAGCTGCCCCGCGAGGTGCCAGAGCCCAGCAGCCAGCAGCGCAGGGACGAAACACCTAGGGCCCGGGAGGGGGAGGGGGAGCAGGGCCAGGCGGCCCCAGGGACTCCTGGCGGCCATCGCCCCCGCAGCCCTCACCCTGCGCCACGTCCCCCCCAAACACCAGCCTCTTCCGGGGCCCTGCCCCGCCCCCACCCAGGGCTGCAGCAGCCACCAAGGCCGGCGGTTAGAGCAGCGAGGCCGCAGCCCAGCCGGCCAGGCCCGGAGGGGGAGGGGACTCCCGGCCCTCGGGCCCTTTCCCTCTTTCCCCGCCGCCGCGGCGAGGCCTTCCCTCCCGTTCCCATATACGGTCACGGCTGCAGGCGCGGCGGCCTGGGGGACGCTCACCTGTTCTGGAAGGCGATCAGCAGCCGGGGATCCAGGATGTTCTCCTCGGGTTCCCACGTGTTATATCTTGCAAGGGAAAAGGGAGGGGGACACGGCGTGAAAAACCGAGCCAGCTTTTCGGCCTCCAGGTGGGGAATGACAGAAGGGCCCAGCTCCGGCTGCTGAATCGAAAGCTATTTAGCTGTGGGGGTGGGGGGTGGCGGCCAGATTTCTGCAGGCCCCACGGGGGCCCAGCTCCCCGGCCCCCCCCAAGTCCAAATAAACACACAAGGGCAGGAAGAAAGGGGAGGGATCAGGGAAATGAAACTGGCAGTTTATTTTGCAGTTGTCAAGAATTTTAAGCACGTTACTGCGACATGTTCCAAAGCCACTCGGCTCCCCAGGAAACCTCCGTGCAAAGCCGTCCAGATGCAAAGTCGCAGTCCCCGCCTCCCGCCCGGCCCGAGCCCCGCGGCTGCAGCCCTTCTCCCGCGGACCCCTAATCCGATCACCGGCCGCCAAGGGCCCCCCCCACCCCTTGGCGGCCCTGGCGCCCGCTGTCACGGCCAAGCACCCCCAAACACTCAGCAGCACAAAAATCCGCCCCTGCGTGTGTGTGTGAGTGTGTGTGTGCGCGTGCCTGCGCGTCTGTCTCCATCCGGTGCCTTCGCATTTCAAATTAAAAAAAAAAACAGCCCACCGAGAGCGCCGCAGTGACAGTTCCCGACATTTCCTGCCTTTTTTCCTCCCCTCCCTGCACCGCTAGGAGGGAAGAGGCGCACGATTGCATTTTCGTCGCTTTTTAATTTTTTTTGGTTTTGCAATATGGAGCCGTTCGGTGGAGGGAAGGGGGAAAGAAGCCATTTTCTGCTGCACATCAGCCAGCGCCCGCGCCTCCTCCCTCCGCGGCCTCCCCGGCTCGGCCCCGCGGCCCTCCGGCTCCTCCGGCTCCTTTGAGCGCATAAATTAGTGATGGCATTTCCCGGGGAGCGCGGCGGAGCACACTCGGGCGCCGGCTCGGCCCGGCGCGGCG